GGTCGATTTCTAGAGCAACGACTAGTGTAAGCCTTGGGGCTCTATTTAAGGGCTTTGGTCGGCTTGGGGAGGTTCTATTGGCCATTTTCAAAGTTGATACAACCTCTTGAGCTGAGCCAAACCTCTCCCACTCATTTCCATCATTTGTTGATCATCTAAGTGAGTTGGGAGTGATCCAAAGTGCTTTTGCATTGAGTTGAAGCATCTAGTGGCACTAGTGATCGATTTGCTACGGGATTTCTTGTTACTCTTGGTGGTTGCCACCACCTAGATGGCTTGGAGCATTGGTGGATTGTTGAGCAGAAGGTGGTGATTGTTTACGGCACCGATTGGTGATTTATGAGGTTCTTGACCTTAGTCCCCGCAGAAGATTCGCAAATAGGTACTCTAGTGGAATCGTGGCTTGTGGAGCTCTCTCTAGTGTGGTTCTTATGGCGCCCAAGTGGTGGGCTAGCGTGGTGTGATGCCTATTAGCTGCGTGAGCCACCTAGTTAGTGTCTCACCACAACGTGGATGTAGAGCTGCCGCAAGCAACCGAACCATGGGGTTGGAGTCTCTTTTTTCTTGATTGTCTCTTGCTCGGTTGGTATACCACTCTATCTCTCTCGCATTTACAATTCCATACTTGTCTTGAGTGGTAGTTGCTTGTGTAGCCTAGTGTAGAGCTAGTTTAGTTTCTAGTTGCTTTACCTTGCTTAGTAGCTCTTGTTGTGGTAGTTAATTAGTTTTTGCTAGTTGTAGGTTTGTTTGTTTGGGTGCCTTCAACTTTAGAGTTCCTAGCTACTAGAATTCTATAGGAAAGGCTTGCTTGAGGTGAATTAGAGCTAGAGCTTTATTTTGCATAATCGCCATCTTGTAGTCTAACAAATTGCGCTAGTGCTTTGAAGGAAATTTTTACAGGCTATTCCCCTCTAGCCATTTAGGTCTTTTTAGCCACCTGATCTTGCCATCCGCGTGCGCCTCACTTCCCATGCTGTCGTTGTCGTTGAGATCTCGCTAGGCCCCATGGCACCTGATGCAACTATTGAGCAGCTCCGCCTCTAGTGCTAATCACCTTGGAAGTGTTTTGGGAGTTATAAACCCGGACATATGGGTATCACGACTCACAGTGAAAGTGTGCAACCTCTGCAGAGTGTAAAACTGGTATATCAGTCGTGCTCACGGTCACGAGTGGCCTTGGAACCCTTATGGAATAGATGATCACTAAGTAATATCTATTTATGCTGTTCATTATTCATGTTTACATTGATCCTGTGTTTCACTTTGGGAATTAAGACAACTTGTTGCTACTCATCTGCTAAAAATTGTGACAACTAAAAGCTGAATGATGTTAAACCTATGTCAAGCCTTTTGAGCCTCATGAACCCCATGTTACACTTGTTGAGTACTACATGTACTTACGCTTGTTTATTTTCATTATTTGGATAAAAATCCCGAATGGGTAACAGATGACTATGGTAATGACGATTTTCTTGAGGAATACTAGACTTGTGATCAACTAGTCGACGTCCCTGTGATATGAAGCTTCCATGAGAGATCTTTTCTTTATACTCCGCTTATATCTATGTGAAGACTTTGTCTTATTATTCGTGATGTAATAAACACTTGTGATGATACTATTTATAATTTGTCGGCTTATGTGTGTGACTGATCTCTGGGCGCACATAAGATTTTGCATCCTATTTTATCCTTAAAATTGGGTGTGACATATTTTGAGGGAGAGTTGTAGTTTTTGGCTACTTGATGTGTGCTTGTATCAATAAGGGGGTAATTATTCCACACAGAGCACAAAGGGGAGAATTAGTTGAGCGTGCATACATTTGTGAGATATCCATCGATTCAGGGGGAGTTTGCATTTGAGGCTATTTTGCTAGTTGTGTTGAGCCTTTGCCACTTATGGAGGGACTAGCTTTGGTTTTGATAGCTTTGTGGTACTTCGTTTTGCTCTGAGTTTGATGGTTTTTGCTCTTTTGCTTAGCTAGTGGTGTTGAGCCATTTCTTCCTCTTCTTGAGGACTAGCTATTTTTGCTTGGTTGTGTTGAGTTGTTGCCCATATCTTTGGGGACCCAGCTTTTGCTCAATTGAAATGACCCATTTTGGTTTGTCTTTGGCTTTTGGTCATTTGAGTGAGTTTTACCCTTTTTCTTTTGCTTTTGTTCCTTCTCTATGTGTTGGTGTTGACATTGCACTCACGAAGGGGGGATTCCGAACACATGGTTGATATGTGCCCATGTGTGTCGAGTTGTGATGAGTGATTGTCAAGAGATGAGGCTTCGATTGAGTTTGAGACTAACCCTAGCATGAGTGTGTGGGCAACATGTCTCTTGGCTGCGTTGGTGTGTGTGTAGAGCACAGAGACAGTGAGACGCTCATGGAGGAGGTCATGTAGAGATGTGCCATGCCAATGGAGTGGGAGTGGTGAAGGACAAACATGAGGCTTGGACCGTGGGACCAAGATGGCCGGAAGACTAATCGTGGGTAGTTGACATTTGGGGATATCGACAAGCAAATCTACATGTGGAGGAGCATACCATGTAGATCAAGTCAAGAGGCAATGTTGACCAAGTCAAGAGGAGGCACCGGAGGACTTGGTAATCGGGCGGTTGAGGGACGGACGGTGACACGCATTGAGATCGTGGAGGAGGAGGAAGCGGATACGCTTCTCCAATGGGGGTTTGGTTGTTTGGGCCTCAAAACCACCGGCACACGGTTTTTTAGTTTGGGCCTCAAAACCGGTTGGAGTTTAGGATGGACTTAGAGGCGCCACATGGCATCATCATGAAGCTTGTGTCGAGGCGAAGCAAAATCGTGAAGAGCTCATGGCCATTGGATGCATGTGTCTCAAGTTGGATCATTTTGCCCTAGGTTATATTAAGTGGTTCAGCCAAAATATCTAAGGGCTTGTTGGGAATATAATAAGCCTATAAATAAGATAGAAGGTTGCCCCAACCAACCATCTCTTCTAGGTTTTCGTTTCTGCATCTAGAGTTAGTTTTCCAAATCTTGTCTCTAGTTTCCTTGAGTGTGTAGTTGAGATCCACAATGAAAGTGAGTGATTCCACCGTTGTCAGATAATCTTTCCTATGTAAGACCAGACCTTGTTTATCTTGAATAAAGCAATCATTCCTCTAAATCAAGTCTCCAAGATTTTGTGTTTGAAATCGATTTGGTTTTTCTCTCGGTCTCTCTCTCTCCTTTGCTCGCTTGGTGGATTTCGATTTCTTGCGGGTTTGAGGGTGATTTGAGTGGATGGATTCATGCTAGGACCCTCGAGGAACATCTTTGCCAAGTGGTTTGAGTAGATTCCTTATGAGCACTTAGATCCATCACTTTGAGGAAAAATTGAGAAACCCCCAACACTTTTGATGGATTTTTCAATCTGCGTTGATTCCTTGACTTCGGGTGATGATCATTGGGGAATAACTTCTAAGAGCCCAAGGTAATCCTTCTGCAAAATTTTGACAATTTTTAGAGCTCATTAGAATTTATTTTTGAATTTTCTTGAGAGAATTATGCTGAAATCTACGTAAACCGGCTCGGGCAATTTGGAAAAAAACAGACTCAGCCGATTTTTCCAGATTGCTCGATTGAGCTAATTTTCGTGTACATCTTATCCTTGGTGTTTTAAGCTCCTCACAAGTGTCAAGTCAGTATGAATTCGTTTGATTGGCTTTTGACTTTTCTCTTCCGTGGGCTGAAAAACCTGGCTCGGGCCGGTTTTGCAAATTGGCTCAAGCCGCTTTTTGTTGTTGGTTTCAAGGTTGGTTGTTTTGATCTCCGCTTGCTTCTGTACTTGTTCCGCTATGTGCTTGGGTCTCTCTTGAGTGTATCTAGCCACCAGTTGGCGTGTGTGTACTTTTCTCGGAGTTTTTGGTGTTTTGAGCGCTTGGTTGGGCGGTGTTGGGATAGCGGCCGAAATCGAAAGAAAATTGGATTAGGCTCCTATCCACTCACTCTCTGTTCACATTGCTCGGTCCTTGACTTGCTTACGAAGAATTAGCACATTGACATGTTCTCACTGAAATTAGGGGATTGTTGGTTTTGTAATAAGCCCTTAGTGGGTTATAATCAAAATTATGGATTTATGTGTTTTTATCAACTTTGGTGTCATAAGAATTTATGTTATTTTCTATAAATTTAGTCAAACATTAAAAATTGACTTAAATTGATTTATTAGAGGGGGCACTCAGCCAGATCAGCGCCATGTTCGTTTGGGCTGGTTTGGCTTATAAGCCATGGCTGAAAGTACTGTTGGCTGGTTTGGTGTAAGAGAAAAATACTATTCGTTGGCTGATAAGCCATAGCTTATAAGCCAAATACGACCGACTTGGTTGCAGCACACAGGCTTGACTGCAGCCGTTGCTGCACACACCGCTTGGGTGCAGCAGGCAGCAGCCAACCACAATCGCAGGAGCAACCACAGCAACTGTACGGCAGCAGTGACACATTATATTGGATCGGAGCTGCTGCGGAGAACATCATGAATTACCTTACCCACGCTAGTAATGTAGGAGTAATTGCAGTCATACGTGCCTGTGAAGGAGTAGCTGCGTTGCTGAGTGACAATGGACCAACAATGATAGACGTCGGCTTCAATCCAACCACCACATACATGCTCGTTGAATGAGATGCTCCACACTACTTTCAGCCATGGCTTATAGGCCAAGGCCCGGTATTATAAGCAAGGGCCGAGCTGAAAGTACTGTTACCTGAGAAAGTAGATTATGTGAGCACCTGCCAGTTCTTCTTTGAATGACTAATATGTATAAAAAGAAACAAAACAGTGCATTAATCTTCTGGTCTTGACCTGGCTGGCCAGTGGCCACCTGAGTGCACATATTATAAGCTTCATTGTGGGTAAAATTATACCACTTATGCATATTGAAATTTGTCAATTTATTGCAGTCATTTAGCTGCTTTTGCCTAGTGCAGGAAAATAACGAAATACTGCATTCTCTAACTGCAGCTTCTTAGCCTCGAAGATTCAAGAGAAGCTGTTTATGGCACCCTTGATGCTTGGGTTGCCTTTTGAGCAGGATTTTCCTTTGGCCTCACTAAAGCAAACACTTTCAGTTCTTGAGAAGGAGGAACAATGGCATAGAATTGTCCAGGTATTGTATAGTGTCAGCTGCTTTCATTTGTATTTGTCATCAATACACTGTGAAGTAAATGTCTGTGACTACATAGGTGGTCAAATGGATGCTGAGCAAAGGGCAAGGAAATACACAATGAGAACATATGAGCTATTAGCGTGTGCACTTGAGAAGGATAATAGAGCTGAGGAAGCACACAGAATCTGGCAGAAGAAAATAGGCCATGATCTGCATTCGGTTCCTTGGCGTTTCTGCCGTCTTATGTTGGCTATCTACTACCGAAACAATAGGCTAGACAGGCTCGTGAAGGTTTGGACCTAAACTTTGTAACTTTGTGATATAAACTATTTTTATTTGGTAACACGGCTTATATGAATTACTTTACCTATCTCTTCTGATGATTTAGCTCTTCAAAGAAGTAGAAGCTTGTGGTCGTAAACCTCCAAGCAAAGATATTGTACGGAAAGTTGAAGATGCATACGAAATGCTTGGATTACTAGAAGAGAAAAAAGCGTTGCTTGATAAATACAAGGATTTATACAACAAACCATCTCGAAACGATCGAAAGAAAGGTTCCAGATCCAAAAAGACCGAGACTGATAAAACATCTCGTTAGTTTCCATTCCTCGTGTGAGATGTCCTTCAGACATTATTATGTACTATGCCTGTAAAATTCCATTTGCTTCAGATGCTGAACTTAGTTATTTTACGAGTATATATGACTAGTGTTGTTTAATCTCTAGAGTATTCCCCTCAGTTGCATAAAATCAATTAATTTGTTAGGACACTAGAAATCACAACATTATTATTCTGTTCTCTGCTGATGACAGTAAGGAAAGCAAGATGGAAACATCTGAAAATCTTGAAGATCACTGTTTCCCTTAGATGAGAAATCAGATGCCTCCGCTGAGTCATGATAAGAGGTAACGTAAAACTAGGCAGTCCATGACTTTCAGTTTACAGTTATGTGTTTAGAAGTGCTGCTTGGACATCACATCTCCTTGTTTATTCTCCTTCCAGATTCATCACTGATCCACTGACGTGGCCATAAGATTTGACCGAAACCAGATGCTGGCAGCATTAGCGATCTTCATGCTCTCAGTACACGTTTGCTTTTAGTAGATGCCTAGCTGATGGAGCAAATAGTATGTGCTCCCCTAATCTGAAACATGTTTATTTTTTTCTTCTGATGTGTTGATAGTTGACGCTACTCTGAATTTTGTTTTCCTTGGCTTGGTTAGGCCAAACATATGTATTCACTGCCATCAATTCGTATTTTTTTCTAGACATGGTACAAGAGCATTTGTATTTGTGCTGAAAATTTTGGGAAAATCCTAGACGACTGTTGGCATAATCAATTAATTTGTATTTGTTTGCTGCAACTCTGAAGATGGAAGAAAAGTATTCCTGTGTCAAAGGAGAATGTGGATAGCTATGATAAGTGAAGTGGGAAGCTAAAGCAGCTGGCCATATCTTTGCTTTCAGGAATCAGGTTGCTTTTGCCTGCATTTTCCCAATTTCCCTCTTATGTGCTTTGGAAACTTTGAAGGCAGCATTTCTGTTGGGCCCAGGCCGGCCTGATGAAGAGCTTTGGATACTGTCACATGATGCTTCTTTTTTTCTCTCTCTCAAAGGAAGCCCTCTTGGCTCTTGATGTATGTATGATTCCCTCTCTCTAGCTAGTTTTGGCACTTGGATGGTGATGGTGGAAGTGGAACCCTAGTTGTCATGCATGCATATGTAGTGGGAGGAGTTGAAGCGGTTTGCACGCTCACTTCACTTGATCACCATACATACATGCGTGCACAGTGGATTCGTACCCATGCATCCATGTTGCCAGCTATACTCCTATGTGTGACTGACTTTGTTGCTACATGATGTGCATATACCCAAATTCGTAAACTGGAATGTGCATTCCACCCCACAGGGCCGCATAAGTGCATATATACATATACATATATAGATATATAGTGGTGGTGGAGGGCCTGCAACTGCAAATTCGATTCCTCTGTAAAGCAAGCGTTTGTTTCTGACGTTTGTGCGCATCGAATCTGATCTGGCATTTCTATAATTTGGATTTGGACGCACAGACAGGACATGCTTGCAATGCCGTGGCCGCGTTGCTCGCCACAGAACTGGGATGCCGAAATTGTAGGCTCTGTTCGCTCGAGATTATCAGCCAGCTAGAAAATAGTGTTTTTCTCTCACAACAAATCGGTCGGAGCCAAAATAAGTCTAGCCGAACAGACCCTGCATGAACACGATGACAGATTTCCTGATTGTTGGTGTGCACTTCAATCCCAACTAGTTATGTATGAGCAACTGATGGAGGATCTGCCAGACCTGGTTTAGTTCTCTCTAAAAAACTTTACGTCTGTCACATCTAATATTTAACACATGCATAGAGTATTAAATATAAACTAAAAAATAACTAATTGCACAGATTATGACTACTTCGCATAGAGACGAATCTTTTAAGCCTAATTAGTTCATGATTTGATAATGTGGTGCTATAGTAACACATGTGTTAATGACAGATTAATTAGGCTTAATAAATTCGTCTCGCGGTTTACTGATGGATTCTGTAATTTATTTTTTTATTAATATTTAAACACCACGTCGCGATACCTATATAATATCCGATGTGATACCTCAAAACTTTACTCTCTGTATCCAGGCATTAGCAAAGGACGATCTCGTGTGGAAAACATGCAGTGCCCACTGTCCAATTCGACAACCATCATGCATCGACTGTAGATACAGAGTCATGTGTCGATCGAGACATTTTGCAAAGACTACACGGTCACACCAGACAAACACAAAAACCCACTGGCTTGCGGCTCAGCTGCTTATCATTAGCTATATCCGCGGCTGCTTGGTGTTGTGTTGAGAATAGCAGCATTGCCTCTGCCACAAATCGATTGTGTCAGTAGAGGAAGAAAGTCATGGAGGCGACGGCGATGAGCTTGGGCAAGGCTGTGCTGGGCGGAGCGCTCAGCTATGCCAAGTCCCAGGCCGCGGAGGAGGTGGCCCTGCAGCTCGGCGTCGAGGACGACGTGATCTTCATCACCGACGAGCTGCAGATGATGCAGTCGTTCCTGATGACAGCCGACGAGGAGCGAAGCCAGAGCAAGGTGCTCACGACCTGGGTGACGCAGGTCCGCGACCTGGCCTACAACGTGGAGGACAGTCTCATGGATTTCGGCCTCCACGCTGGGAAGAAGCCCATCTGGGGGTGCATCCCCCGTAACCTGTGCGATCGACGTCGCATAGCCAAGGAGGTGAAAAAGCTAAGGGCCAAGGTCGAGGATGTAAGCAACAGGAACCTGCGCTACCGCCTCATCAAGGATGGCTCAAGCTCCAAGCCTGCCGGTGCGGTGGCGGAGCAGTCTGGCGCCTCTGATGGTGCAGCAATGTTTGGCATAAACCAAGCCATGATTGCTGCCGTAGAGCACCAACAGTCCAAGGCAGACCTTCTGCAGCTGGTCACTAGCAAGGAGGTCGACCTGAGGGTGATGGCTGTGTGGGGAACAACCGGTGATCCTGGGAAGACGGCCGCCATCCATGAGGTTTATAATGACCCAAGTGTGACCTCAAGGTATGGAGTCAGGGCATGGGTTAGGCTGATCCACCCTTTCAAGCCAAGAGTGTTTCTTCATAGCATGGTAAGGCAATTCTTTGAAAATGTTCATGATAAGCCTCAAGGGGGAGAAGAAGTAGTAATGAATGTTGGGGCAAGTGTTCTTCTCAAGATGGAGAAGATGAACCAAAGTGATTTAGTGTACACGTTTACTACACAGTTGAGTAGCAATAGCTATCTAATTGTAATAAATGGCCTACGCACAATAGAAGAGTGGCAATGCATCAGAAGGTACTTCCCTGACAACAAGAAACAGAGCAGAATCATAGTGTCCACTCAGCAAGTTGAGGTTGCAAGCTTATGTACAGAGCAACCATACCAAATGTCCGAGTTCAAGCAGCTCCCGTATGACCAAACACTTTATCTGTTCCATAGGAAGCAGGTAAGTCTCCATCAAAAAATTTCTTCCAGTTATTGTTTTGTTCGACACGACTGAGGTTGTTGTTTTTATTCCATTTCTGACTAAAGGACTCAGAGGAGCGGACCAGTGCATCAAATTTTGACGAAAATGAAGCAAAACCTGCTGATTTAGAGGAGGGAAAATCAAATGTGAACCACCACAACTTGACCAAGAATGAAAATCTCAAGAAGGTAAAACAGGAAACAAATCAGTCATCTAACACAACTATGGTCATTCTTTATTTCCTCATGCATGTCCTCGATTCCTCATAGTTAACGGGTTTCACTCTACTGAAAAATTTGTTATATAAATTGCATGCACACAAATGATATTTTCTTACATGCATGACGCATGCTTTTCACCCTCAAATATTTTTGTGTCATCTCAAATTTACCTTGTAAAATTTGACAAAATATGCATTCCTGGTTAATATGTTATTACATTCCAAATGTATTATCAGATTTATGCTACAGATGAGCTGATCCTGGTAGTTAGCTTAAAAGAATAATTAACAAATATATAAAAAAAAGAATGTATTCTCAGATCTATTGTATACATGCCTCCCAATGATATTGAAAGTTTTATTGTGGAAGCTCTAATAGAGATATTTATAAAATTATATACTTTTGTAGTTTTGTGGGCATATTATGCTTACCGAAAGTGTAATGTGAATGTCAATATCCGGGTAGCTCGATGTGCAATTGTATAGACCACAAGGAATAAATTTCTGAAACAAATGTTGTGTTCATCAGGTTATTATTCCTGAGCCCATCTGTGACCCAGCAACGCCTAGTAATGAGATACATGAAGAATATCAACAACCAAAGAGTACAGGTGGAAATAATTTCTGTACCTCAACGGCTAGAAAAAGTTTGATCGCAGGAGGACAATGGCACTGGATGATGATGTACTTGTTGGGAGAAAGACAGAGAAATCCAAAGTAATTGATTTGATTGGTCAACCTTCGGACATGGAAGGCTGTAAGGTGATCTCTGTCTGGGGAATGGGAGGCCTTGGCAAAACTACTCTTGTCCGAAGCATCTACAGAAGCCAACAGCTTGGTAACTGGAAGCGTGCTTGGGTCACTTCTCCGCGTCCCTTCAACAATGAAGTGCTCATCAGAACCTTAGTTTTGCAATTACTGACAGACGATCCTACTGCAGCAAGTGAAATAAAACAGAAAAAACTCGACGACGATCCTACTGCAGCAAGTGAAATAAAACAGAAAAAACTCGACCAGGTAAGGACAAACCTAGCAACGATGAGGTTGGATGACCTAAGAGAAAAGTTAAAAAATATTCTAGAAAAGCATAAGAACTGTCTCATTGTTCTTGATGACCTATCATCTATTGAAGAATGGAACTTGGTTCGAGATCATTTGGCAAAGGCTAAACGGATCATAGTCACCACAAGGGAACATAAAGTTGCCAAACATTGTTCGCGAGAAGACATGAACACGCACCAACTTCAAGTCCTGGATCAAGAGGAGGCACTTGCCCTCTTCGTAAAGAAGGTACTTCTGAACATTTCTTTGTCAATTATTCCTATTGAAATGAGTTTGCTTTGGCTATTGCATTAGCATTGTTAAGTTTTCCGGAATATTGGCCGTCTACAAAACATGCTTTTCTTTGTTTATTCGTGCCATAAAGTTCACTAATTACATAAAATGTGCTCTTATTAACTCTGTCTCTCGTATTCTCAAGCCTGAAGTGGCTGTATGTTAGGGATAGAGATCGGAAGAACTAGAATGGGGAAGGGAAGAAAACAAAGGTAGCGTCGGAGGACATATTAGCTATAGAGAATTCAGTTATCTATTGTCTTGTTACCTACTCTCGCACGGCTCCTTCTCTTTAATACATTTTGAGAGAGTATTGGTGTTTAGATAATGCTCGATTAGATTGCTCAATGACTACCAGTGAGTACATAAAAGGCACGATGGGGAGCCTAGGTCGGCAGGCCCATGGCCCAAGGGTTTACATTCTAACACGCCCCCGCATCGGAACTGGGAGCACAACGAACATTCAGACTGGACCTAAACTTCATAAAGACGGATGTCAGCAAATCTTTGGTGAAGATGTCAGCGTATTGGGAGGATGTAGGAACATGCAGGACGCGAATTTCACCAAGAGCGGCGTGTTCACGGACCAAGTGTAAGTCAATCTCCACATGTTTAGTCCGCTGGTACTGAACGGGGTTGGTGAAGAGGTAAACAACACTGATGTTGTCACAATAAACATTGGTGGGCGCGGCAAACAGGGTAGTGAAGTTCCTGAAAAGCTGGCGCAACCAGCAAGCTTCGGCGATGCCATTGGCCACGACGCGATACACGTCTTCATCATTGGACCGGAACACTGTCGGCTGGCGCTTGGAAGACTAGGAAATGAGAATGTCCACAAGGAAGACAGCATAAGATGAGGTGGATTTGCGAGTGTCAAGGTAGGCGGCCCAATCGGCGAAGTCCGGTAAAGATGGAGACCGAGGTCCAGAGCGCCCTGTAAATACCGCAAAATCCACTTCATAGCAGCGAGATGGGGATCTCTCGGGTCGTGCATATGTAAACAAACTTGTTGGACGATATAAGCGATATCAGGTCGAGTAAATGTGAGATACTACAGAGCACCTGCAATGTTGCGGTAGTGAGTAGGATCAGACACCAAAGTACCAAAGAGCAGACAATTTGGAGTGAGTGTTCATAGGAGTACTGCATGGCTTGCAATCTTCCATATCAGCGAGGTCCGAATATCTAGCAAATACTCTCGCTAGAGACAAATAGGCCATGGTCTCGATGTTCAACAGTAATACCTAGGAAGTAATGAAGAGGACCCATATCTATCATAGAGAATTTCGTCAAGAGCCGAAATAATCTCTTTGGAGGAAACTCTCCGACGAAGTCGCGAGAACGATGTCATCAACATAGAGAAGCAAGAAAGCCATATCGATTGCCACGACGGTGAATAAACGATGAGGTGTCGACTTAGCTTCGACAAATCCAAGAGATGTGATGCGAGAAGCTAAGGATCGTGCAAGCGCAAGGGCTCGCTTCAATCCATATAGAGAGCGGTTCGGTGGCAAACATGATCAGGTCTCGAGGAGTCAACAAAACCGGATGGTTGCATCGCGAGATAATTGTCTTGGTCATAGTGCCATGCAGAACACATTCTTGATGTCGGTGATGAATGGACCAAGAGCGGAGAGAGCCAAACCGAGTACCACACAATTGGTGGCGGGCTTCACAACCGGACTCAAAGTCTCGTCAGTAGTCAATCTCGGGTCATTGAGTGAAACCACGTAAGACCCATCGAGCATTGTAGCGATCAAGAGAACCATCTAACAAGAACTTGTCGTGATATACCCATTTGCCAGTGATAACATTGACTCCAGGGGATGAGGTACCAAGGTCCAAGTGTTGTTTTGCCTGGAGTGCATCGAACTCGGATTGCACAGCACACCAATTCAGATTAGACAGAGCTGATAAAAAAGGCATCGAACGCAAGGAGAGCACCGCGTGCCATGCTGAGGTTGAGGAGATCCACCGGCTGGATGAAACCGAATTTGGCACAAGTGCACATACCATGCGCATTGGGCACAACGGCCTTCGGGGCCATGGCTGTGATGCGCCCGGTGGCACACTTGGCACCACTGGCAACAACTCGGGACAAGGTGTCAGCAGGCTGGCCGGTGGCATGGGGCGGTCCGACGGAGGTCCCAACAACGCCGTTGGCAATGACTTGGGACATGGTGTCCATAGGGCCCGTGGCACAAGGCTTGGGAGGTGAGGATGGCCCGACGGGTGGAGACCTGCACCCAGGTAGAGGCGGTGGCTCAGTAGCGCCCGAGGGCATGCACCAAGCCGAATCGGTCAGAGGCGCATGTGCAGCTTGAGCACCATCGGGAGGAGGTGTACTGCATGCACAACACTAGTCCCAATGAGCAAAGTGGAGCAATCATCATCGCTAAAATGTCCAAGGTTGTGGGATCCAAGGAGAGGTAGACATATCGGAAAAAGGAAAATGACTCATCAAACACAATGTGTCGAGAGACAATAATTTTATTGGAATGAAGGTCGAGACACCTATACCCTTTATGATCGGCATAGTAGCCAAGAAAGATGCACAAGGAGGAGCGAGGAGATAGCTTATATGGGGTGTGGAGGACAGGTTTGGGTAACAAGTGCATCCAAACACGTGGAGGTGAGTGTAGGATTGGTGTGTACCATGAAGAGCATAGAACAGGGTGAGGCCGTCTATAGTATTAGTGGGGTGACGATTAAGGAGATATGTGGCAGTGTGAAGGGAGTCAGCCCAATAGATGGGAGGAAGACTGGCCTGAAAGACGAGAGAGCGCACAATATTATTGATGGTGAGAAGAACGCACTCAGTTCAACCATTCTGCTGGGATGTGTACGCGCACAACATGCGAAGGCTGACACCGTTGGTGAGAAAGAATGTGTGAGCCAAGGACTGATCGAATTCATGGCCGTTATCGCACTAGACTACCTTGATAGGGAAGCCGAAATGCATGCACACATACAAGAGAAAAATAGATAGAACATCGAAAGTCTTAGACTTGAGGCGAAGGGGAAAAGTCCAAGTATAGGTCATCAAGGATGACAAGGTAGTACTTGTAACCTGACGTACTAACAACTGGAGATTCCCAAAGATCACAGTGTATTAAATCAAAACGATGAAATGCACGAGTGTTTGACATGCTAAAAGGAAGATGCACATGGCGGCCTAACTGATAGGCATGACCTAACTATATATTTATATGATCAGAAGTGCATTTATTACAAGAAATAGCATTGGAGCTAACAAGGTGTCATAACTGAGATGACCGAGACGACGATACCGGATAGTGGTTGTAACACCCCACGTCTAAAACTGCTTATATGTCCCAGTTCCGCATGTGGAACAGGCCTACATACGCAGTAGCACCTCTCTTACACTTTCGTTCTCGCTTCGTCTAAAAGGGTTAACTAGGAGGTGCTACGTTTGGAACAACAAGGATTATAAGCTGGCCTCACCCTCCTAAACTTTCAAGGTGGTACTAAACCCACCAATCACAACCACGCATGTGCCACTTGGGCCACATGGGCCAAGTTCACAACTACTATAGGTTACTAATGTGCTAGGGTGTTACATTCACCCCCCTAAGGGCTGATGCCCTTGGCAGCTCAACACATATATGTGGCAGATGTCCAAGATCACCCCTTGGTACACCCCTCCATGGGCACATGATGTAAGGGTTGATGCTTCGAATACCATCTGTAACACCCGATAGGCAGGGGTCACTATGAAGCCTTTCAAAGGTTCATCTAACAAATTAGGGCCACTAAGTTTCTGTGCCTTGCAAATGTAGGGCTCCCCTTCCGACAAGCACAATGACACGCAATCTATACAGTGACGGACAGAGGCCGTACTATATCCAACCCGAAACACACCCATCTTGAGCCATAAAGGTAACATCTAACAAGCTAGAAAAGGTCCTCATACTGAGCTAAAGCCAGAGCCATGTAGCCCTCATAGCTGTACTGTAAGTCCTGGATGATCACTTATAGATAAGTCGTTAGACAGAGGAATCTGAAGCATTTAGAAAGTAGCTAAACACTCTAGCCCCCTGTTTCTAAGTTGCTAAAAAGTCATATTTTAATGTTTATTGCATATACCATTAGTCAAGTTACAAGATCATGGTCCAGTTGAGCACTAGCAAAGCTACCCAATGCACATCCCATAGGAAACAAGGTATAAGTTCAATTCCAGGGAATTCCTATCAAGGTGACACATGCAAATATGTATTAAATGTATTAAACTTGATAGGAAATAAGAATAATCCCAAGCTATACTTGCCTTGAACAAAGTACTCCTCTGCTGTTCACCTTTCGTCAAAGTAGTATTCTTGGTCACCCAATAATTACTCACCGTCTATACTCGATAATCACAAGCAA